CAGTCTCCTACAGTCGTTCAAAACACGCTTTGGAGAATTTCGTGAGCACACTCGTCTTTTCAAGTTCATCACCCATCCAAACGAGTCTTCACTGAACACAGCCGACCTGAGTTACATTCCTGGTGTCTCCGTCAGAGATTTTGAAGCAGAAGTGGCTGACTTGAAGGCCTCAGACATGTGGGTGAATAAGTTCAAGTCACTGAATGAAGATTTGGAAAGAATTGCACGACAAAAAGCAGAGTTGGCGAGCAAGCACATGTGGGCAGAAATGAAAAAACTTCAACCCGAAGACCAGCTGATTATCAAAACTTGGAACGCGCTTCCTGTCACATACCACACACTGCAGCGTGTGAGTATTGCTGTATTGACCATGTTTGGATCTACGTATGCATGTGAGCAATCATTCTCACATCTTAACAACATCAAGTCCAGCCTACGATCACGTTTAACGGATGAAAGCCTCAATGCTTGCATGAAGCTTAACCTTACCAAGTACCAACCAGACTACAAAGCCATCAGCAAATCCATGCAGCACCAGAAGTCGCATTAATGGTGAGTATTATAACGACATTATTTAAAAAATAAGTTGAGAGGCTTATTATACTCACATTTAGTTGAATTAGGTCTTAAAATATGTTATATGGCTCTCACTGAAATAAATTTCCAGATATTTTGCTGTCATGGCTCTCTGAGTCAAAAAGGTTCCCGACCCCTGTCTTAGAGGCTCACTTAAAGGAGCAGGGGGCCTCCATGGGTCCTACGGACATTAGAGACCCACAGGAATCAGGCCTTTCCTTCTAGGGTGAATGGAAGCTGTATGGAACAGAGAAGAAGTTCAGGAAAGTCCCACAGCTGGATGAAAACCCCTCAGAGGCTCCCTGATGTTGCTGGACCGCTGACGCAGCGAGAGATGGCGGCCGCCGATTACTGAGATGGAAAAAACGTAGCAAGAATTTGGCTTCTCACGGTGCCTTTGCTCTGCACTGCAGGTCAGCTGGCTGAAACATGGCTGCTGCACTTTCTCCTGGCTTCTAACAGAAACGTATTCAACATTTGGAAATAGGGATGGAATATTCACATTATGGCTGACATTTACTAATCCTACTCTGGACGCCATGAGAGACGCCGCAGTGCTGCTCTGCTTCTCCTCCTGAAACAAACACAGAAACTAGCTGGAAATAATCACTGGTTGTTGATATTGGCCCAGTTCTCCATCGGACCGACGCCAATAAGCTTAAAAATGACCGATATCGGCAAATGCTGACACTAACGCCGATATATATAGAAAAACAGGAACCAGCGTGATGTTGACACCCAAGGTGTGTTTCAGGTCGACCTGCGCAGAAAAATAGCGCCAGAGAGCATCCTGTCCATAAAGCTCCGCCCACTGCAGGAGCGCGTTTCCCTTCAGCGTATGGCTTCAAACTCTGACGTCCTATTAGATTAAGTCACAGGTGGAATAACAGCCTGATAGCATCACATAAAACTGATCCCCGTAACCATGACTACTGAAACAAATACAGTCTCACTTCCTCCTCATTTCTAATCAGATTCTGATGGTTTCAGGGACATGGAGACACCAGCTGATCTACAGACCAAACGTTTGGACACACCTTCTCATTCAAAGAGTTTTCTTTATTTTCATGACTGAAAATTGTAGATTCACACTGAAGGCATCAAAACTATGAATGAACACACGTGGGATTATAGACTTAACAAAAAAGTGTGAAACAGCTTAAAATCTGTCTGATATTCCAGGTTCCTCAAAGTAGCCTCCTTTAGCTTCGCTCACTCTTTCATTCTCTTGATGAACTTCCAGAAGCCGTCACCTGAAATGGTTTTACTTCACAGGTGTCCCCTGTCAGGTTTAATAAGTGGGATTTCTTGCCTTATAAATGGGGGTAGGAGTATCAGGTGTGTTGAGCAGAAGTCAGGTGGACCCACAGCTGATAGTCCTGCTGAATAGACTGTTAGGATTTAGATTATGGAAAGAAAAAAGAGGCTAAGTAAAGAAAAACGAGCGGCCATCATTACTTTAAGGAATGAAAGTCATTCAGTCTGAAAAATTAAAAAACTTTGAAAGTTTCCCCAAGTGCAGTCGCAAAGACCATCAAGCGCCCTTAAAGAAATGAACTGACATGAGGAGCCCCCCAGGAGAGGAAGACCAGGAGTCGCCTCTGCTGCTGAGGAGAAGTTCATCCGAGTCACCAGCCTCAGAAACCACAGATTAACAGCAGCTCAGATTAACAGCAGCTCAGATTAACAGCAGCTCAGATTAACAGCAGCTCAGATTAACAGCAGCTCAGATTAGAGAGCAGGGCAATGAAGCAGAGTTCTAGCAGCAGGAACATCTGTAGAACATCTGTTAACAGGAGACTGTGTGAATCAGGCCTTCATGGTAGAAGAGCTGCTAGGAAACCGTTGCTAAGGCAACAAGCAGAGACTAGCTTTGGCTAAAGAACAGCAGGAACGGACCTTAGACCAGAGGACATCTGGCCTTTGGTCTGATGAGTCCAGATTGGAGATCTTTGCTTCCAACCATCGTGTCTTTGTGTGACGCAGAACAAATGAACAGATGGACTCTACATGCCTGCTTCCCAGCATGAAGCATGGAGGAGGAGGTGTGATGGTGTGTGGGTGCTTTGATGGTGGGGATTTAATCAAAGCTGAAGGCATACTGAGCCAACATGGCTACCATAGCATCTCACAGCGCCATGCTATTCCATCCGGTTTGAAACCCAGTCCAGACGGTTTGGGGTGAGCTGGACCTCAGAGTGAAGGCAAAGGACCAACAGGTGCTCAGCATCTCTGGGAACTCCTTCATGAACGATGGAAAAACCATTTCAGGTGACGGCCTCTGGAAGCTCATCAAGAGAATGAAAGAGTGAGCGAAGCAGTGATCAGAGCTAAAGGAGGCTACTTTGAAGAACCTGGAATATCAGACATGTTTTCAGCTGTTTCACACTTTTTTGTTAAGTATTTAATTCCACATGTTCATTCATAGTTTTGATGCCTTCAGGGTGAATCTACAATTTTCAAAGAAAACTCTTTAAATGAGAAGGTGTCCAAACGTTTGGTCTGTTCGATGTTTCCAGACTGATGAGATAAAAAATGATCATCATTATTTTTTAAGGTAAAGACTGAGGTAGGAAGACGAAGCATTCACTTCTCGCTCTTATCACAGGTCAACTTGTTCAATTGGTGTGTGTGTGGGGGGGGTGGGGCGGTTGACTTACCGACTGCCCAAGCTTTTCCAAATTATCCAGGAAATACTTGACCGACTCGCCCTGAGGAGAGAAAGAGAAACAGTTCAGTTTGAGAAGAAGACCGGATGTCTCTCTGTCATGGATCCAGACCCACTAACTGGGAAATGAAGCCATTCCTGACTCCAGGTTTAGTGACGCAGCTTTCAGGTTATCGCCACAACTCCCGCTGGCCGTCAGTTTGACGGGCGACTTTTCCCCCAATAAAACGCAGGAGTAGAGATGATGTCATCAACTGAAGCGGTTCTAGTGTGCGATATAAACCCAGTGTGGATGTGTAGCCCTTAAAACAGGTTTAATATATATTTTAAAGGCTGCATATTGTATGCTAATATTATTTGTTGTCTAAATTTGCATTAAAATCAATCAGTTAAATAAATAAGACTGTTTTACTAAACAGGCTGGAAGTTTGAAATGACAATTTTATTCACAGAAATTGATTGATTATCCCTGAACATTTTCCACCGTTTCACATGAGCATTTTTTTGTGCAGCGCTGACGCTCCCTGGCGCTGTTTCCTTTGCCTCGCCGAAGCTGCTCTTCAGCGGCGGAGGCGCCGGCATCCTGCGGAGCGCGTGTGGTTTTACCAGTTGGAGGATAAAAATCACTGAGTGAGACCATGATGTTCAAACAGCTCCCAAACAAAACCGAAGCGTTTATAGCTGCTCTGTCCAGGAGGCAAAAACCACAGAACACTTTCACCTTGGAGCCACAATACTCATCTGATGTGACCCCCCTGTTCTGTTGCTGTTGTTCAATAAAAGTACGTTTTAAGATCATTTGAGGCGAGAATATTATACTTTAAACCTTCACTATATGGAACATTTACGGATTTAATGCGTAATTAAAAAGCTCAAATTAACATATTTATTTTTTACCTTATTTTTTTTAAACTAGGTGAAAATGGAGGAAATATAGAAAGTCAGTTAACACGAGCAACACATGATTAATGTAAATAAAGTTACTTCACTCCAAAATCTCCGATCCGTCAAAATGGCGGCCTTGGTAGTTCTAGTGTTAGATGGAAATGTTTGAGGAGTCAGACCCGCCTCCGCTCTGCCTGCGACCCTCTGGATGCTGTTCTCACTCAGATCTTCGTCCATCGGTGGAGCTGCGGCGTTCCTTCCTGCCAGACTACAGGCCTGCAGCTCCGATCCACTGATCCTGTGGCGTTTAAGCGTCTTCATGGTTACTCCTCATCCAGTCAGACATCCTCTAACTGCTGGGGAGCTTCTGCTGCAGCAGGTGAGGCTAGGGAGCGGCAGCACGGTGCTTTCTCTCCCCCCTCCTCCTCTCCCTGATACTCCTGAAGGCTACAGACACTTCTGTATGAAACGCCAGCGATGAACCTGTTTTTAGGAAGGCAGTGGTCGTGTGACACAGCGACGCGTGGAGGAATGATGCTGCTGTACCTGTGGCCATGCAGGCCCTCTGAAACCGATCCGTGCCGCGTTCAGTTAACCGAGCCCAGCTTGGTTCTTACGACCATTCAAACATCACGCTAGCACGGTTCCTCGCCTCCTATCAGCTGTCCACCATACTAAGGTTCTCAAGGTGAGAATTACACAAACAAAAATCTCTGCGCCCATAACAGGACCTTATGTGCCTGGGTAGCGTCAAATTTCAATGAGAGCGTCTGTCCCTGGATCATCCCAGGTCACACCGCGCTCCTCTGATGTCATTTATTGGTAATAAGCTGAGATAAAGTTTGTGTTGTGAACA